TCATTTTTTTCTCTAGATTATGTGACATCACAGCTGTGCTAAAGATCCTCCAAAAACCTTCCAAACCAAGGCATCGAATTAAAGAATTTTCTAATTTGCCAAATAGCAGGAGGTCCGTGTCCCATAAGACTGCACGTCCCTTCCGAGGAATTAAAAAAAGGGTTTTAAACATTTAAATAGTATATATTAGTAATATCTTAGTAATATATTTTCTCTTTTGGTGAGGTTATATCCAACACAAACCTTCTAAAATATAAGTGTGTGTGTGTGAGAGAGAGAGAGAGAGAGAGAGAGAGAGAGTGTGTGTGTGTGTGTGTGTGTGTCTGTGTGTGTGTAAGATGCATAAACCATATCAAATTTGTAAAAATAAGATGTTCAGGCATTTACACGAAGGAAAAATACGAGATAAAATTACAGCACTGACAGAAATCCAGCTTATGCTGAACCCTATCTCTTAACATAAAGGAGTTAAAAATGTTTTCGAGGTCTTTTAGTAAGAGCTCTTTCAATGCCCTTGAAGTTCCAGCTTGAGTATAATTGGCTTAACTTTCTCTGACAGCTTCAGTCGCTGTTTAAAAGTTTTCACAGGAGTGGTAGATTATGTCCTTGGGGACTGTAACTCACCCGGCCACCCGGCCGGCCGACCGTCACGTCCCGCTCCACCTTAAAAAACCTCCCTCACAACTTGACAGCTCCATTGAGGGTTGAGCTGGGATGAGAGCCTCTGTTTCTATGGAGGCGTTCCATTCCTCCGTTGCAGTTTAAAAATTCATCTTTTGAAGGGCCATATTGTTGCTCGGCTTCGGCTTTTTTTTTCTCCGCTGCCTTTTTCTGCCTAGCAACAGTTTTATCTTGTGATTACTGCCAGCCCAGAAGGAGAAACCTTCTGCAGAACATTTTGAGCCTGGATGTGTCTGGAAAGAGGTTACTCGAGATTAAAGGAGAAAAGTTCATCAGCTGGCACTTCTGACTTCTTATTTTTATCTGCAAAGTTAGTCTTAGTTGGAAATGATGGTGTTAAACATAAAGAATTAGAATATGAGATGCATTTTTGTGCCGTGTTAAAATATTCCGGAAGGAAATATATTTTCAATCTATCAATTTCCCTAATGTCCTGTTTCTAAGTTATTTGTTTAAATTGCCCAGTTTAGCTGACGGCATCTTTTAAGATAGACCCCTCACGAGGAAAAGAATGTAATTATGATGTATCTGAGTGTATATCGTTCTGAAGTTTCTTTCAGGCCACAAATAGATTGAACAACTGAACACTGCTTCAAATCATGAGCCTTTGTGTGATGTGAGATTGAATCTAACACGCTGAGAGGAATCATGCACACGAACTTCAGAGCAGTTCTGGAACTTGTTTTTTTATTTATTTTTTTACAAACAGACTTCTTCAACAATAAAGATCCAACTCAGCCTGTAGGTGGTGTTCTGAAAAGCAGCTGAAGATTACGTTTCACTGAGAGATTAAAGCAAGTTTTTGCCTGAAATGGGACGCTCTTGATTTCACTGTCGGCTTTGGAAATGGAGACGGTTTTTCCAGAACCAGACAAATGTTATTCATTATGAGGAGTTTACTGCTGTTTGGGTATTTGCTAATTACACACCGACTGTAGCTCTTTTCATTCTGTCGACTTGTATAAAATGTCACAGTGACAGACATTTTTATACCCCGAGTGTTTGTGGGGCGTGATCCCTCGGAAAATGACACGGTTAAGTGTGCATGTTTTCTGTGCTTTTCCCCTCAATCAGACCTGACAGCAGCATCCCTGCGTGTGTCAGCTAAAGACTGCGTGTGACACTCTCCCCGCCGACACAACAAAGATCTATTTGGAGACAAAGATTTCACTTTAGCGGCCAGCCCTCCCGCTCTTATTTGCAAACCTGCACAGCTGGTTGAACTCCCAGAGGCCCGCCGGCGCCGTCTGCCTCCCAAATCCCCGGAGGAGACGCCTCCAAATGTCCCGCGACATCACCGGGATGCTCCTCTCTCTGCCTGTCCTGATTCCACAAAGGCCGAAATATCCCACGTCCACCCGAAGGGTTTTATTTTGTTTTGGGTTTCTTTAACGCAGAGATGCAAAAATCTTATCAAACCCACAACTCCGCCTCTCAGGCACAGACTGGACACGCTTACCCACCATCACCCACAGCTCAATACTTCTCGCTCATCGATTTTCCGTACGCGCCGCGCCGCTGTTTGTCTTTTAACACAAAAGGACTCGCCCGCTATGGCATTTTAACGGCGCTGTGGTGGGAGTCGTCTGAGTGTCTTTAAGGAGAAGATGAGACAAACTGCAACACATCTCAAAGCCACGTGGGACCCAACGGAGTACTGAGCCAGAACTTGTTTTTTTTGCATATTACCAGGAGAGCAAATCAGTGCAGTGACATATTGCGCCAAACAGAAATGGAAATACACTAAATATGGCAGACATAGAATTTACATCATTCGAACAACACTGAATGTCAACTTTTGGAATCACCGTCTTTATTCTTCTGCAATGGTCCCTCTTTGAAGAACTGTTTCCATCATATAGAGCCTCAATCGTTCCTTCCAAAGACCTGTTGCTGTTGACTCCTTGTGTCTCTGTTGGTCTCTGTTGTTCTCTGTTTCCCCTAATTATGAACGGCTCCACTGCTGCTCTTCCTTGGAGAACATTTCTGACAATGCTTTAGTGAACAGCCTATGGATAAAGCAGGACCAGATGGCTCTTGTAGGTCCTGAGGCAGGTCTTTGTTGGAGCTTTCTCCTTGCAGGTGCAGCTCAGTCATAAAGCAGAACCTTCTCAGTTAACTTCTCACTTCATTGAATTGCTGACGGAAACTTGCCTAATTTGATTAGTCACTTTATAATGAACAACATTGTGGCTCGGGGGGTCAGAACAGCTGCGGTGCAGCTTTGAATGGTGTTCTGTGTCCTGTTTGTGCCGGTCCCAACGTGGATAAACGTCAAGGTTGCATTAAGAAAGGCATCCGGCGCAAAAACTCCAGCCAAACCGAGCATGCAAATCAAGGTCGACGTGTGCTGCCGAAAGTGGAAAACATCAGAATCAACAACATGAACACAAGTTAAGGAGTAAATAGCCATTCGTATTTCAATTGCTTTGGACAATGCAACCAATAGGACATCTGCACCCTCAATATTCTTAGATGAAAGCATAAGACAATGTAGACCTAAAAGCATTGGATAAAAATAGAAAAGGCTTTTAATATTTTTTAGATTAATTGGATCATTTAATTTTAATTCATATGAATACTTAGTTTTTTATTTGAAAATCTATGAGACACAAAGGAAATTATTGTAAAAAATTTGTTAAGAACACAAAGAAGTGCAGTCTTTACTATAAACATTAATATAAATGGACACTTGTTACTGTCACAGTCCATATATAATTATTCTCCAAGTTATAGTCCCGATGAATACAAATATATCTCATCTGGCAGAAAATGTAACCAAACCTGTCTGAATTCTATCTGGAGGCTGGTGGAAATAAAAAAGGAAATGTGTTTCCACTCCAGTGCCTTGAAGGCTACCCACATTTTAATTCATGTTTTGTTGAGGTTCTGCACCTGTTGGCCGTTGCAGAAAAACCTCATTTTAGTTCAGTCACACCTCACAGATATGTTGACTTTTGTAATGAAGGGTACGGGGGGGGAGGGGGGGGGGGGGGGGGGG